GCAATAAATTTTAACACTGAATAACAAATAAATAAGAAATTTTAGATCCTATATCACTTAAAAATAATATTGACTAAAGGATTAAATAAACTATAATAATATTGAGCAAGTAGGCAAATGAATGAGTTAAGATTTGCAAAGCTATCTACAAAGGCAATGGAAAAACAACATAGAAACAAATTAAGGCTTAAGGAGTAAGAGATAAAAAAGACTACAATATTTTTAATCAGCTATTATTTGTACATTTTAGATATACATAATGATCACTTTTCACCATAGAGAATTTGTACCTGTACTTGATATAACTTTTTCCCCATTCCCCTAAATTTCCTTCTACCCCTCCTCCACTCCCCATTTACAAAAGCTTTCTTTGCCTTTTTCCTTCTTTTCTCATTTGCTTTTACTTTTCCCTTCTTTCCTTCTCCCTTCGCTGTCTATTGTTCCCCTCCCCATTTGAACATTTTCTTCTCATTTCACAATGCCTGTTATACATTTTGGTCCTTATTTACACTTTCAGCTTCACACACCAGAGAAACAATGTGGTAATTATACTTACGTGCCAAATTTATTTCACTTAACAGTATAGACTCAAAGTGTATACACTTTCCTAGAAATGTCTCAAGTGTATCCTTCTTTATAGCAGAGTAATACTCCATTGTATAAAAAACTCACATCTGCTTTATCCATTCATCAGTTGATGGGCACTTGTGTTGTTTCCAAGATTTGGCTATTACAAACTGTACTGCTGTGAACTTAGGTGTACATATATCACTGTGGTATGGTGCTTTTAATTCTTTGGGGAAGATATCTAGGAGGGGAATGACTGGGTCAAATGGGACCTCTAGTCCTACTTTTTTGAGGAATCTCCACACTGATTACCACAGTGGTTTCACCAGTCTACACTCCCACCAACAGTGGAGAAGGGTTCCTTTTTCCCCACGCTCCCTCCAGCATTTATTATTGGTTGATTTCTTTTTTTTATTGTAACTTTGTATTGGAAAACAAATATATAGCTTGGAATGGAATGTTGGTTGATTTCTTTTTTTATTTTAAAAATTTAAAAATCTAACAAGGCAACAATGAAGACAAAATCAAAACAGCACAAAAATGATACATGACCTCAAAACAAAATGATAGGAATTAAAACTGGTTGTGACATTCAAGAAATACAAATCAAAACAACAATGAGATTCCATCTCCCCCCAGAAAGAATGGCTATCATCAAGAAATCAACCAATAACAAATGCTGGAGGAGCTGTGGGGAAAAAGGAACACTTCTCCACTGTGGGAGGGAGTGTAGACTGGTGCAACCACTGTGGAAATCAGCCTGGAGATTCCTCAGTAAACTAGGATTAGAGGTCCCATTCTACCCAGCTATTCCCCTCCTGGATGTTTTTCCAGAAGAACTGAAAACATCATGCCACAGCAATATATGTGCACCCATGTTTATAGCAGTGCAATTTGTAATAGCTAAATCTTGGCAACAACCCAAATGTGCATCAACTGAGGAATGGATAAAAAAGATATGGTGTTTTTATACAATGGAGTATTACTCAGCTATAAAGATAAACTAGAGGCTTTTATGGGTAAATGGATGCAACTAGAGGCCATAGTCATAAGTGAAATAAATTGGCTGATTTCTTGATAATAGCCATTCTTTCTGGGGCAAGAAGGAATCTCAGTGTTGTTTTAATTTGCATCTCTTAAATGACCAGTGATGATGAACATTTTTTCATATATGTATTTGCTGTTTGTATTTCTTCATCCGAGAAGTGTATATTCATCTCAGATGCTCATTTCTGGATTGCATCTCTAAATTTTGGTGGTCTGACTTTTTTGAGTTCTTTATGTTCTTGATAGTAATCCTTTCAGATTACAATATTTTTAATTGGGAAATTTACCTGAGCTGAATGCCAAATGCAAAATTATATATCATGAGTAAGGCATAACAATCTCTTCTGTATTAATCAGGAGAAAATATACCTATCTATGTTTTTTGTTTTTTGGGGTTTTTTTTTTGTTTTGTTTTTGTTTTTTTGCAGTACCAGGGATCGAACTCAGGACCTTGTGCTTGCCAGGCAGGTGCTTATGCCACTGAGTTATATCCCCAGCCCCCATCCATTTTTAAAATGGCACAAGAAAGCATCTTTACTGAAGAATTTACAGATAATTTGTCAAAAAAGACTTTAATGATGAATATGCAAATTAAATTCACAATAGGGTCCATCCTTGTGGAGTAACAACGAGGAAAAATGGACAATTACATGAATAAAGTCAAAGATTCCACAGCAACTGTCTTTGTGGTGTCTGCACAGCACATTCCTCAGGGGAGGTAGCTCTTAATATGTGATGTGAAGAGGCACTTAGTAAGGGATGTGAACAGACAGAATCGAGGAATTCCTTACTTGAATATTCATCTCAGTGTTGCTTTAGACCAATAAATCTACATTTAAAATAAGCCAAAAATTGGACTCTGAATTCTGTTACTAGAGCAAAACATTACAAAGCTTTATATTTTTAAAATGACATTTCTGAAAGCATTTAGATAGCAGAGTATGTACTCAATTACAATTTTTTCTTGACATTTAGAAAAATATAGACCTAAACACAGCATGAGTTTATTCTATCTCTGCTATATATCTCCCCCACATACACTATTCATTTAAATATATGATGAAAATGGGAACCAAGATTTTTATATTATATAGTATACATAGTGGAGGGATTAGAAATGCTTTTATTTCTCCTTTTAGTTATATATAAAATCTTTATTTAATATATCCATACATGATAAATGTCCTAAATTACCCATAGTGCTCCTAAAATGCATTTATAAAGTGAAAAAGATAATCTATTACAAATACAATTCAGCATCATTTCAAACAAAAAGCACTACATTGCTATGAATTAGTTGTTCTTTGCAGTGATGTCATTTCAAAAACAAAAGCCACATAGACCGTTGCATATCCATCCTGTCCAAACTCTCAACCCTCAGGAGGCAGAGAAGTACACAAATAAAACGCTTGGAAACTGAGCGAACAGAGACTGTGACCCAGTCTTAGGGGACAGAGTGGACATTCTGTCTTCAGTAAGACCACTTGCGGTGGGAGAGGAGTTGATCCAGAGGCAGTGAGAGCACGGGATCTGAGCTCAGCTAAGTGTGTCCTCCCACACAGCCTGGGGCAGGGCACCTTCTCTGCTCAGCTCTGAGCTTCTGGGAGCCCACACTCTCCCTCAGCATGAACGTTATGCTCTACCCTGCTTCCCGTACCCTATGAGCCTCTTCCAGATTCACATCCTCCATCGTTACCCCTAAGGTCACCGCTCTGATGCTTTCCGTTTGTGGTGCGCAGCATCTGAACTGCCCGAATCCTACTAAATCTTTATTTGCTCAGTTGCTTACCTGCTGTTCCTCTCACCCACTGGTCTGGGAGCTCCTCTGAAGCAGCAGCATCATCTCTTCTGCTCCTGGGACAGTTCCTAAATGATGCCAGTGCTGGGTGTGTGCTAGACATTGAATAGTACCTACTAAGGTGCCCCTGGGTATCAGTCTCTTGTAATACAGTATTATACAAATGTTTGCATTGTTTCTCCATGTTCAAAATCTAATGTTCACAATCTATAACTTAGTTTCCTCTTAACTAACCTTATTTTTGTGTTCCTTGTCCTTGCCAGTCTTGATTTCCTTTCAATTGTCTTACAGTTTCTGGAAAACAGAAAATTACTGTTCCATGAAAATATATTCTACAGCTAATGCTCCACCTTGGTACAATTTAGTTAATGCATCTGAGTCATATTTACTTCCTGCCCACGAAACAAAATTCAAGATATCACAGACTTCTTAATTCTGTTGTTTGATTCATTTTTATTTTAGATTGTTCTTCTTGGTAGAAGATGTTCATTTAAGCCCATGAAAGCCCATTTAAGTTCATCAAACCCCATTTGATTATTGAAGACTTCAAAATTAACATTTTAGGCCAAGAATTAGATAGCAATCACAGTGCTTTCTCATCTGATAATTGTACTAGCACTTAGAGAGTTTTTATAATTATTACATGAATTTTTTCATTCCTTCAGATCATTTTCATTAGTGCATGTTTGTAGTACATAAACTACTCTCGTCCCCATCTCTCCACCCCCGCCATCTCTTGGTCCCCTCCCCCTTTGAGAAAAAGCTGTCTCCCTGCTTGCTGTCATCCATCTTTCATCTGTTCTTTATTTATACTTCAGGTTTCTCATATGAGAGAAACTGTTATTTGAGTTTCATGCTGAAAATAGTAGGCATCGTTAAACTGCCATGCCGTTCATCTGGACTTCATTCTTATAAACAGGACTTATAACCACTTCTGAGGTAAGAATAGTGACTTGGACTTGTACATTACCTACTTAAATTATTCAAAGAAAATGAAGCTGTTGAGCAAACTGAGGTCCTTCCTCAGACCCTCAGAGAATCAAACTACATTTAAGATTTTATTATTTAGATTATGCATTGCAGGTTGTGAAGAACAAAACAACTTTGTTTCTGAGAAAATCTCTCATGGTTTCCTATTAATATCAGCATACAATGCAAATTGTACCTCGCTAATTTTGTAGAATACATATTTGAAAGATACGTCTCTGTATTCAACAATTCATTGAAGACGTTGTAAAAACTGCTGTATGCACGATTGAAAGGGCAATCCAGGAAGAACACATAAATTACCTACAGTGATTGTCTGAGGGTGTGCACTGGAGATGTCAGGGTTACAGGTTTTAGAGGTGAATTCTCATGAATAGAATGTAAAAAATACCAATTTGTTGTTTAAAAACATACTTATGAAGAGATATTGTATGCTATTGGTATCACATATGGGAAAATACTCACATCTCCTACTGGAATACTGCCTGGGAAATCTAATTCTGTTTTTCTTCTCTAAATAAATAGCAGTAGGGTTTTTCTAAGTGATCTATTTACCAAAACTGATCATTACATATAAAACTCAAAGACAAAAGCAACCAGAATGGCCAATGAGAGTTTCCCAGCATACTTCGTTCTTCTCGGCTTCTCTGAATGGCCCCAGCTGGAAGTGATTCTCTTCTGGATCATTGTCGTCTTCTACGTCATGATTGTCCTCAGCAACTCAACCATCATTGCGCTCTCCTGTGTGGACCCCCTTCTCCACACCCCCATGTACTTCTTTCTTAGCAATCTTTCCCTGCTGGAGCTCTGCTTCACCACAACCACTATGCCCCAGATGTTGTCCAACTTGTGGGGTCCTGACAAGAGCATCACCTACACAGGCTGTGTCATCCAACTCTACGTGTTCCTCTGGGCCGGTGCCACAGAATGCATCTTGCTGGTGGTCATGTCTTTCGACCGCTATGTCGCCGTCTGCCAGCCCCTGCGCTACACCATCATCATGCACCGCCCTCTCTGCTGGAAGCTAGCCCTTTCGGCCTGGCTGTCTGGCCTGACGGAGTCTCTCATCTTATCTCCTGTCACGCTCCAGCTGCCTTTCTGTTCCCATCACCGTCTGGATGATTTTCTGTGTGAGATTCCTTCCCTCATACGCCTGGCTTGTGGAGACACCTCTGCCAGTGAGTGGCAGCTGACCATCTCTTCCGTCATCTTCACCATGGTGCCTGTGGGGTTGATTCTGACCTCGTACAGCTACATAGCCCAGGCGGTGGGGAGGATGAAGTCAGAGGAAGGGAGGCAGAAGGCCATTTTCACCTGCTCTTCCCACCTCCTTGTGGTCTTCATGTTCTACGGGACAGTTGCGATGGTGTACACAGACCCCAAGACCAACTTCGCTTCAAAGAATGGCAAGTTTTTCACCTTCTTCTACACTGTGGTCACACCTTTGTTGAATCCTCTTATCTACACTCTGAGGAACAAAGACGTAAAAAATGCTTTGATAAGACAGCTGAGAAAGTGGATCAGTCCATGAAAAGTGTTGGTGCGTCATGATTTTAACCAGACAGAAATTGGGAAGTCATGAAATACATTCACTCCCAGTCTCTGAAAAATCGCTAAAAATGGTGTATATAATACAAAGGGGGATTATTTTTTATTCACTGGATTTTACAGGTGATTTGCTTAAAAACAGTAGTAGTTTTGGAAAATACTAGTGTTCAATACTAGTGTTCAATGAACAATATTAGTGTTCAAAAGATATTTGCCTGGGGAAGAAGACCAGCTACACAATACATTTTGAGGAAGATAACTTACTTCTTAAATGACTTAACTTTCATGAGCTTAACATGCTAGAATTATTGAGTAGGACTTTATGAATTATTTACTGTTTAAATCTTAAAATGAAGGGTTCATAGAACTTGGTTCATAGGTTTTCTTATGTGAGCTTGAAGAAAGGAAAATTTTGCTGCAGCTTCCCTAGTCTTTTCTTTCTAGTTTGGGTGGCAATCTGAGGATGGCAATCTGAAGACAAAAAGCAGATTTTCTTTGTACATTTTTTTGCTATATTTTTTCTTTGGACTTTTCAGAAGATGAAGCCATCACACCTAGAAGTTTCTGAGATATAAGAATGCAGAAGAGAGGTGGGCCCTTCAAGCTGAAGAGTAATACACATTTAATGTAATTTCCATGTGATTTCAAATATATTAAAAATGTAGGAAAATGTGTTTTCCTAGTATTCACAGTAAAGGTTGTGCTAAATTTAATACAAAATAAATATACACAGATATTTTATAAAATGAAATGATTCATGAATTCTCTGTTATTTTCTTGATAGTGAAATTATGAATTACAAACTTACCAAAATCTAAGTGACATTTTTGCAAATGGACTCACATACTAACACATGGTACCAGGAATTAAGCAAAGTATATTGTGTTGGAAACTCCTTCAAGTATCAAAATCTTTTCTTGTTTCTTTCAGTAAAGTGATAGAAGTCAGTAGTACAACTATTTGATCAATCTTGCATGTCTATATTTGTTTTCCTGAGAAACTACTTTGAATATATCAATATGTAATACAACAGTCATTGTTAATTGCCTACCACTTTGTCTGTAATTCAGTATTGCTTGTGTTGTTCTTATGCTATTTTGTAAATGGGCGCCTGTTTGCTAATATGTTTTTGTTCTTTTATTTTTAACATAATTTTTTTTAAAATAAATCTTTTCTTGGCCCTTACTCTGGTGGAAATACCAAAGATACTACCAATGTACAAGAATTGTAGATCTATCTATTCTAGTTACCAAAAAGTCATCAGGGTGGCTGACATATAATTATGACAAACTGGTTCAAGCAAAATTCTGAGAGGTACATGGCATGGAAGACTGTCCAGTGCTAGAGGCCAAAATAAAGACTGTTTAGAAGAGAAGATATTTAACTTGGATTAAACCTTACACAATGTGTGCATATATCAAAATGCCACAGGGTACCCATTATTATGAACAAATTTTTATGTTTTCATATGTTGGTTAAAATAAACAACCAAACTAGCTCTGTGTTCACACAAAAAAATGAGCCCCTCTCCAAGTTTTAATGGACATATGAATCAGAATATGTACAAGGTACCAAGATTACCACAAATTCTCAGCACACTGGCCACAACACAGGCTTACATCCTGCACATACGAAATCCAGTGTGTGTGCACATGGTCCTCTGGAAAATCGTCTTCATGTTTGTGCTTTGTCCTTGGAGTATCTATCCACATGCACACTCCTGGCAAGACCTGGCAGGACAGCCAAGCCCTGACACGTGCATACATTTTTCCAAAACGTCTCATGAATCATTTACTCTCATATTTGTGGATCAAAGGAAGAAAAGACAGCCCCAGCTAGCCTGATGTGGGCAGTGCTGAGCCTTTCTTACCCCTCTCCAAATCTAGAAGACCATCTCTTGCTAGATTAGTGAACAGTGGAGTAGGCATCACAGAAACGGGGGTAAAAGCTGGAATGGCAGGAAGCTGTCTCCTAGAGACAGGAGGGGAGGATTAGATTTCCTTTTGGATGCTGAGGAAAAAGTGACAGTCCCTTTTTTGTATGACTTCATTGAAATTTTCCAAGAATTCTAAGAAAATTCCAGAGGAGGAGTTGGCTAACTTATTGGTGTGTGGACGTGTAATGCTGTTATAATAATTTCTGTTATTTATTCCTTGCTTCTATCTGTGGAATGTTCCCTATGTATGCCATCCAGTTCACTCAGTTACACACGGGATCACACACTCAATGCACAGCCGGAGCAGACGATGTCTCAGAGTCATCCAGAAAACGGAGTTTCTGTTGTTAATTTTCAGGCTTGGTCCCAACTTCCAAGGTACCTCAGGAAGTTTCATGCAAATCAAGACTGGAATTTTCTTGCTTAAAGAATCAAGAAAGTAAAACTTAGTTATGACTAGAATATTTTTAAAGTAGCCATAATTTAGGTTAAAAAAAACTGACACAAAAAATTCCATCCAAAAAGAACAGAAGACATAGTTTAAAGAGCCACATAAACAGCCACCCAGGCAGACAATAGCCTGAACCATAAAACAGACCTCAACATTTTAAAAATGAAATCTTTCATCTGCTTTCAGTGGGTTGCTGTACAAGGTATGATCCTAGTGTCATTGCTTTACATACACATAACACATGTGCCAAAATCATTTGTAAAATCGACTGTCCTTTTCCACAGTATATTCGTGGCCTCACTGTCAAAGGCCAAGTGAATCTAGATGCCTGGGTTCCTTCCCGGCTTGTCTGTTCTAGTCTTTTGATCAATGTGTCTGTTTTCAGGCTGATACCGTGCTGTTTCAATTCCTATAATTTTGTAGCAAAGTTTAAAATCAGGAAGTATGATATCTATCCTGTGTTCTTTTTGCTCATGATAACCTTGGCTATTTGGGATAGTTTTTGTGGTTGTTTGTGAACTTTGGGATTGCTTTACTATTTCTGAGAAAAATCACATTGAAATTTTGATGTGAGTCCTGTAAATATGTAGGTTATGTTGGGCAGTATGGATATTTTTAGAATATTAATTATCTCAACGAGTGCTACTGTACATCTTTCCATTTATTTGTATTTTCCTTGACTTTTTCATTAGTGTTTCACAATTTTCAGGCTAGATCCTTTATTTCCTTGGTTAAATTTGTCCCCCCAAGTACTTTTGTAACTATTATAAATGTGACTCTTGATTTCTTTTTTATTTGTTTTTTGTTTTGTTTTGTTTTTTTTCCGGTACTGGGAACCGAACTCATGACCTTGTGCTTGCCAGGCAGGCACTTTGCTGCTGAGCTAAATCCCCAGCCCCTTGATTTCTTGTTTAGTAAATTCATTGTTAGTGCAAGGAAATGGTGCCGGTTTTCTGCACAGTGATTTTAGTATTCTGCAACTTTGTTAAATGCATTTATCAGTACTAACATTTTTTGGTGAAATCTTTAGGGTATTCTTTCTATAAGGTCATGTTTTCCTCAAGCAATAACAGAGGAGCTTCCTCTTTTCCAGTTTGGACCCATTGTATTCTTTTGCTGGTCATCCTGTTGCAGAACCTTTAGCCAACCAGATGGAAAACTCTCTGCAGTAAGGACTTTGGAAGACAACTTTTATTTACACCTACCAGCTGATGGGACCTGGGTCCAAATCATCAGCCCTGGCTTAAAGTTAAGCAACTTCTATACATTTTGTAAGCAGGAAGTACAAAGTCCATAAAGAGTTAGTCCATAATTGGTTACATATACAAGTTAGTCTATAATTGACTACATATATTTAGTCATATGCTGTCAGACAGATGTTTCTGGGGCAGGTTTAATTGGAGGGGGCCATTTATCAGGAAGCAAGAAGGTTTAAGGGGAGTCAGGGCCCAAGTAAGATTTAGTGTGACCATGACAGAGCTGGTCTGCTCGGGGTGGGTAGTCCTTGAAACAGGATATGTGTGTAGCTTTGTGCAGCTGGTTAGATAAGGCCAAGTCAAATTATCTCTGAGTTGCAGCTGGGTAAGGCCAGCTGAGTCTGACAGCCCAATTATGAAGTTATAGTTTTAAAATTTTCCATTACATTTCCCCTCTTTTGTTTTTATAAGGAAGACTCTTCTTCCTCAGCTTTAAGAGGTTGATAGGAGCGGGTGTTCCTCAGGGGGAGCTGCCCATGTATGGCCTCAAAGTGCTCAGACAGAAATCTAGTTCGGAGGTGAATTACACAGGGACCCCAGAGAAGGACCATCAGAAGGCTTATTAAAGGCCCAAGTAAGGCTCCCACCCATGAAGGGAAAATGTCCAGGGAACCCCATCAAGAAGAAACACCCAGTCTGTCTTTGACCCTCTGTTTGAGGCACTTTTGCAACTGGCAGGAGTTCTCCTTGATTATTCCTGATTTGTTAGCATAATAATAACATTCCTCCTCTAGGAAAAAACAGTCTCCCCACCCCCAGGCTGTCAAGAGGCCTAAAGCCCTCCTGTTTTGTAAGACAGCTATGGCCAAAGAATCAATCTGTTCCTCGAGGCTTTCAATAGAGTTTTGAATACTTTCAAAGTCCCTCATTATTGGCTGGTGAACTGTGCATATTTGTTCTGTCCTAACCCAAGACTAAGCCACCATGGCTAAGCCACCTGTTATTCTTCTGCCAGCCAGAATGGGCAGAACCATGGGGTCCCATTTCTGGAGGGATGCAGGGTAAGCCAGAGGGCCCCAGTCACTGGGGTAGATGTTCAGATCCAGGACCAGGAAGCCAAGCCGCAGAGGCTCATGTGTTGTGGGAAAAACACATGGTAGACCCCATTAAAGCATACAAAGAAGGTTCCCTTGTTCGCCTGAGGTGAGGAGCTGGGTCGGGTTATGGAGGCTCAGTTAGCTGATGTCTGGAAAACCTTTGTTTCTCAGAAAGCAAGTGGAGTTTCCCATCATTTGAGTTGGGGAAGCCTGAAGCGGAATTGTTGGGACTGAGTAATGTGGAACGTGGAAGCCTTGCAGTTAACCCTAATGCCCAGTGTGTTAGGGTGGCGAGTGGCTCAC